CTTTTAAGCACCTGAATAAGACCCTGATAACAATGTAATATATCCCTTAAGCAAAGTTGGTTCATATATTTCCTCATTCAGTTACATAGGCTGTCCTATTATTTATTTCAAAAGGAGACAGCCAATGTTTACAAAAAGTGTAGATCTAAGATTAAGGAGCACTAGCAGAAGAGCTTTTGGCCATGAGAGGAAGTGTTTTTGAAAGTTTTGCCAATTAAGTTTTGATTGTGCCATTAGTTCTTTCCATCAATCCTGAGGATCAGGGATGGTAAGCACAGTGGAAATGCTACATTAGTGGCCAAATATTACAAATGGATTTAATTATTTGCCCAGTGAAATGAGTTCCCTGGTCACTGTGTAAACTTGGTAGGAATTTCTCAAACAAGAACTATCCTTTTTAATCATAATTCACCTAAAGCTGTCGCTCTTCTGTAAGGAAAGTCCTTAACACAATGTGAGAACATACAGATCATTACAAGACATATTTATCCTTGAGATGGTGGCCTTTGGACAAAGTCCAATTGCCATACCCCTAAGGCTCCCTTAGGAGGGGAAAGTGGCCTTATGACTCGTGAAATAGTTTCTCTAGAGTATAGGCTTTATGAACCACCATGAGAGAAAGTTTCTAAAAGTATTGTTTTTCCCTTCTTGTTGTCACCTTTATATTTTTTTCTTCTGTGGCAATTTCTTGAGCCTATAGAAGGAAATCTTTTATTGGGTTAGCAAAGTTAATAGAAAGTAGCAGGAATTCTTGAAGTTGGACAGCATATGCAGCTTGATAACATTCTTGCTTATCATTTAAGTAAGACTCATCTGTAAACCACATTAAATAATAGAATGTGGTTGTGTTCTTCTCCCCTTGTGATGTTGGAAGCAGGGTAGCAGGGTTAAAATAGTGAAAAATATTTACCTACACAATATAACCTAAGAAGGTTTATCATCATTTACTTGGCAATGCTTCCCATGCAGTTTAGCACCAAACAAGCCCAATTAGTATCCCCCCTTTATAGGAAGACAGAACAAATTTCTTTGAGAAGTCACAGGTGCCCTCTGAAAATTCTCAAAGAATATCAAATAAAGACTTCATTTAGGGGGCCAGCCCTGTGGCTGAGTGGTTAAGTTCATGCGCTCTGCTTCGGCGGCCCAGGGTTTCGCCGGTTTGAATCCTGGGCGCTGACATGGCACCACTCATCAAGCCATGCTGCAGTGGCATCCCACATGCCACAACTGGAAGGACCCACAACTAAAAATACACAACTATGTACTGGGGGCTTTGGGGAGAAAAAGGAAAAATAAAATATTTAGAAAAAAAAAAGACTTCATTTAGGATATGAATTATTGGGAGCTTGTCAAAAATATCAAAAGATTTAAAACACTTACTTAAACGAGATCAAGGGATTGCTGATCTTGTCATCGTGAAACTAGGGTCACTGAAACAATGCTTCATAATAATATTTAACCAAAGTGACAACAGAAACAGTCAAAAACCTTAATAGAGAGACGTCAGTCTTTTTGAACAGAGGAAATTATCTTAACAAAACACAGATCTTCTGTCCTTTAGGTCAACTTTCTCAGGTAAACCAAATCTTTTATAACCTCGAAAGCAGATTAAGGGTTTAAGAAAGTTACCCTTTTAAGAAAGAAAGCCAAATTCTAATTTTTGTACCAGTTTACTTTTTCATGTCAAACCTTACTTAATTAAATTTCTTTTAATCTTAGCCAACTTGATCATGTATAGAATTCCTCAGGGTTTTACTTTCACTAACCTTTTGTCACTTTCTTTTCCATTTAGAATTTGTCCCATGCTCTTCTTTTTTTCCTCCTAGTACTTCAGGACAAATTTATCTTTCTTAACCCAACAAACAAAAATATTTCCATTTTTTTACCTTCTTTACTGAAAACTTACATCTTACTCTGAATACAAATATATTTTCCTTATTAATTTCTAGTAGCTTTAATCACATATTAGAATTATTAACTTTTAGAAACCTTAATTTTTAGTGAAAATTAAGAAGTAAGCAATTATAAACTTTCTTTAGCATTTTGTGGCTTGGCAAATTTATAAACACTTTTCATAATTTCTAAAAACATGTTACTCCATAATACAATCTTTTAATAAAATATAAGACATGTTTACTAATACACTTAGACACCTTTTAGTTTTTCTGTAATAAGCCAAAAGTAGGTAAACCTACATTTAATAACTAATGTCCAATACTCTATCTTATTTAAAGATGATCAAGATATTTAATGGATACTTATCATTTAAATTAACCTAGCAAAACTTCAAAGTTTCAAGATACCAAAGACATTTGGGAAGCTATTTTAAGTACATGCACCATAACATATAATTGTTGTTAAAAGTTCACCCAACACTCATCTTTTTAAAATCTGTTAATTTCTTGTTCCCAATAATTCTTTAGATTGCCTATAAAGACTTGATGAGACATTAGACAAAATTAGCCATCCTTGTAAGTTATTATTTTTGTTAACCAGTTTTGTGAGGGATAACATCAGCTTATTTGACCAGTAAACATAGAATAAAGGCTGCATGTCTGTGTCATATCCATGTCAGCTCTGAGAACATGCCTGATTTAATCAAACCAACAAACTTAAACAAGCTTTCATTTACCAAAGACTATTTCATATCAGGTTAACTTGAAAGACATTTGGGTTAGTTGCATTAAAACAAGAAATTTTGTAAGTGCTTACTTTGAGTCAATTGAATAGAGCTCTATAGAAATCGTACCAGCGGGATGTAAAATGCCACACATTTATAACATAAATATATATACACACACACAAACAACAGACAGATACCTTAGATTTCTGGGCTAATGTGGCTCATAGCAGACCACGGCAGCAAAAACATGTTTTCCTAGTTTTTTTTCTCTTTCTTTCTTTCTTTTTGGCTTAGGAATCTGGCTTGGGAATATCCTCCTTTGTGAAGCAATTGCAGTCACAGTATGAAGCCAACTGGTGTTCAGAGGAGAGGCTGTCCATTCGGGAACTGATCAGGCTTTTTTAGAAGCTCTATTTCCCACTTTTATTTCAATTTTGTTTTGCTATCAAGTTCAAACAACTCCTAAAGACAGTATAATGGGTCAGAAAATGTTCTGCTTATGAGCATTACTCCCTAGAGAAAGGTCATAAGTGCTCTCTGATGCCTCAGTTTCTCCCTCTGGCAGTCTAAAACTGCAGTGGGGGCTCAGAGTGTGGGTGACCAGCTTCCCTGGATGAGCCATAATTAATTAACATGAATGAGAGTGGAGTTCCCTATGGGACCACTACACGTCACCAGGATTGATCCTCTGACATTCCCACTGAAGTCCTCAGTTGCCTGAGAACACCTTTGTGGCTGGGAGGAGAGTGTCCCTTTTCTTCAGAGCTGAACACATGCAGTCTCTCATTTCTCCATCAAGCAGTTTGTTCAGACTTTATAAACACAAGTCTTTCCAATTTAAAGCCAAATTTAAAAGGTCAGCCTGTCTCATTCACTCCAAAGTTCCCCCTGGGCTCCCTGGCCTAGGAAATGCCCCCTAGGTTTCTGTTTCCTAGGAATTCCCCCTAGATTCCTCTTACCTAGGGTGTGTACCAGTACCCCCTTAAGACGCCTAGTCTTAAGGTTTGAAACCGTTAATATGAACTCTTAGACCATCAACTTAAAATAAGGAGGTCTGGGTTTCAAGATAACTCACCAGGGTCACCTGAAGAATGCAGTGATGGTGGGGGGAGGGAGTCTCAATGGGCCCCTATTGGTACCAAATGCCAGTTCAGTGTAGATTCCAGGTGGTTTCCGGTGGCTTTCCCTGAAATCCTGCCACAACTACGCCAAGAAATGTTGATGCAAATGATCCATAACCAATCTATAAATGAAAATTGGGGTGAGTTTATTCTGAGCCAAATGTAAGGACCATATAGCCCAGGGCCTTGTTTCCTCAGGGAAGGAAGGGCACCAAAGAAGTGGGGTGTACAGAGTGGTTAGATACCCTCAGAAAGCATGTTTCACGTGTGATTGAAGTGTCCCTTTTACAGTAGTCATGAGACTGCTCTGTTGGCACAACGATTGATAGACACAGCAGGTAGTAGGTCTGCTGTCTCAGTGGACACAGCAGGGTAGCAGGTCTGTTGTCTCGAGCTGGTTAGTCACAGGTGAGCACAGCAATCAATTCCTCGCCTAGGGAGAGATGCTTATCCTTAAGGAAATGCCAATGTGGGGGAAGTTGCCCCTTTATCTTAAGGGCATTTGTTCTTGTCTTTGGGACGTAGCAAATGCTTAGAGCAGATATACAGTGTATGCTCAATGACCATGTCAGCCCCTTTTGGAAAAACGAAGTCAGGCCGAACTAGGTTTACACCAAATGGCTTCCTCATATACTCCAATAGCTTCCTCATATACTCCAATATATTCTATTGTTGCCATTTTTATTTCTCAGGTTGCTTGAGCTTTTGGTGTCATATTTAAAGAAACCACTGTGGGAGGGTGAAATGGGTAAAAGAGGTCAATTATATGGTGATGGATGGGAAGTACACTTTTGGTGGTGAGCACACTGTAGTACAGACAGATGTTGAAGTCTAATGTTGTACACCTGAAACCTATATAATGTTATAAACCAATGTTACCTCAATAAAAATAAAAAATAAGTGAAAGAAAAAAGAAAGAAACCATTGCCTAATCCTCGGTCATGAAGATTTGCTCCTACATTTTCTTCTAAGAGTCTGTTGGGAGTTTAGCTAAACTACTCCATAGCATTGCTGCCTCAGCATCCATTTTGTGTGGCCTAGTGGCCTGCAGGGGCCTTGAAGTGACACCAGCCCCTCCTGAGAGTGCACGCCCTAGATAACCACTGACAGAGTCAGAATACATGTCAGTTCCTGATATGACTCCCATATCTGCGCTTGTGAGAAGCACTCTCCCCGCCTTCCAGGGCCTTCCCCCTGTGTGCCCTGTAGATAAGACCTCCAGGAAGCTTACCAAACCTCTTTTTGGTTTGAATTGACAAGTCCAGCCTTAGCCTGGGGACCCCAAGCACTCTGCCTGTGGACTCCAAGAAAGGTCTATGTCCCAGGTCCTGCCCTGCTCTCAGCCTGCACTCTGCCTTAACCTCCTGGTGTGGCCACTCGGGCTGTGCTGTGCACTTTCTCCAGGATCCGTGAGTAACAAACTTCTCTATTTCAATTCCTTTGTGGTCTTTTGTTGAATAGACAGTGACCATCCAATACCTCTGGGCTCTACTTAACAAATGTTAATTTAACAAAGTCACAGCACCTCGTGCAGGCATACCTCATTTTGTTGCACTTTGCAAATATTGCATTTTCTACAAATTGAAGGTGCAGGGGAAGAGGAAGAATCACCCCTATTTCCCCTTCTGATTCTTATGGCAGGTCATAGAATTAAAGATGACACAAGGCAGGTTAGCACAAGGAAATTAAACAAGGTTTAATATGTCTACATGAGGAATTCACATAAGCATGAAGAATTTCAAAACAGTCAAGCAAAATGAGGCATATATGTCCTTCTGGACTAAGGAGAGGGAGCTAGAGGTCTGAGACTTCAAAGGGGGAGATGGCGATTTATAGGAAGACGGAAAGAGTTCATATGGGGTAAGCAAATGTTTGCATTGTTCCATCTATAGACAATGAGACCAGAAATAAGTCTTTTGAAATAATGGCCCTTCCTAGATGACTTCCTGCCTATCACACCCAGAATTGTCTATGGTAAGAGCTCCTTCCTGGGACAGACCCTATATCCAGGTGGTTAAGTTCAAGAACTCTGCTTTAGGGGCCCAGGGTTTTGCAGCTTCAGATCCTGGGCAAGGACCCATCACCACTCATTAAGCCATGCTGAGGTGGCATCCCACATAGCAGAGCCAGAAGGACCTACAACTAGAATATACAACTATGTTCTGGGGGGGCTTTGGGGAGAAGAAGAAAAAAAGGAAGATTAGCAACAGATGTTAGCTCAGGTGCCAATCTTTAAAAAAAAAAAAAAAAAAGAGTTCTTTTCTAGGACAGACCCTTCTATGTTGAATTCTTTTAGGAAATTTGGAGGAAGGTCAAAAGTTCTTCCAGCGTCTTCTAAGCCTTGATTGTCTTCAGTCCAAAATAATCTGCATACCAGAGTGGCACATCTTGGGGTGGCCCGCCATGAACCCATCAGTTCACTCCTTTGAGTGTTCCCTGGAAGGAACACTGAAAGCTGAGCTGGTGACTGTGGAGAGAGAAAATGAGTTAGTAGCCGAGTGGTAAGAAATCTGCAAAGGGAGAAAAGAACATGGATTAGAATGAGGATGAACAACCAGAAAGGAAGGGATTGGAGCCCATCTCCTCACACCACATTAAACCAGATCCCGATCCTAGGAGTAAGTCAGTCCAATAAAATGGGTGAGCTTCATTCATCTGATGGAAAATGCGAATGTTCTCTTTTGATCTATGTAAGTTAGATACTATTTGCCCTGTTTATTTACATAAAAGTGACATTCTTCACTGATGATTGCAGAAGCTCCTCCTTGCTGGGCAGTCAGAGTGTCCAGACCAGGTTGATTTTATAGGACCACAGAGGCTAGGCTGTTAATCTCTAACTGGAGTATTTTCAAAGTTTGCATGGTGGTGTTGAACACTTGATCTGCTACCATGGAGAGATTCAAGATTGCCTTTTGCAACTTGTAATTTTCAAAGCTGGGCAATAAGACTACAGATGCTGAAAAGAACTTGGAGTTGTGATGCACAAGCATATTTTCTTCCATTTCTCAGCACATTTATGTGGCACAATCTTATAAACAAAGGAACCCAAGTTTGCAAGTTGGCTGGCATTTAGGGTGGAGTATCTGGTGACAGAAAGGGCCAGGTATCCAAGTCCACACTGTCCTGACCACATAGGTGGGAACCCTTTCCACACTTTGTTGCCATATAAAATAAAATGACCAGTGTTGTTTACAGAGAAGATTAGAACTGAAAATATAGTTGCCAGGGTCTGGAGTATTCCATGAGCTTTGCCACTGGTACTGTTAGTGCCTAAACTTCTCCATTTTCCGTGTGCTCCTGTCAATCTGAGAGCAGAACAGATGCAGAACAGCTGGTACAGGAGGCCTGCAGTGTGATTTGGCAGCTATAAAGCCTGGTCCTGTCGCCTGACCATGTGAGTCCAGAGTTTGGATCCACCCACATGTAGTTTGTGGTAGGGGGCAGCTTAACCATGTGGGTGCCTGCAATACCCCAAGTTGGACAAGGGTGGCTTGTAAACCATCCAGAACATTTGGTGATTTGGCAAATGTTTGTGCCAAAGGGAGTGGTGTTAGAGTCACTTACAATTTCCTTGAGAGGTTTGAAGATGTCACCTGTGGAATCAAACCACAGAGTTTGATTGCAATGCTGTCCTTGTATGCCACCCAGGAATGCTGCAGTGTCATGTTTACCTTCAATGCAAAGGGAAATATTTTCACCTGTTGTCTTTATCTTGGCAATGAACAGTCTTGGAGCTTCTGTAGAGCTTTTCTGGGGCCCAAGTGACTCACTAGGAGAAGAGGTAGAGTGAGGTCCTTGTCGTGGACACCATACCCCGTCATTCATTCATCTTCTATACTTAGTCCAACAAGTTTTTACATCAGCAGGAACAGAGACTAGTTTAGGTTCTTTTGTGCTCTCCAGCTGTCAATATAACCAACAGTCAGATTGATTAGTTAGCATGGCCAGAGTTTGGTAAACTGGGATAAGGGGGTGTTTGGTCTGTGCTGGTCCTATTGAGAAAGGGAGGGTTAGTAAGAGCAAGACACTGATTGGAAAAGAGCCCATAGTGGAAACTTAGAGAGGGGAGGAGGACAGAGACCAGCAGTCTCAGTCAGCTTTCTGATAAATGATGAAAAGGAATATGTATGTTCGTTAATAGGAAAAGGGTTGTTTGTGTGTGTGTGTGTGTGTGTGTGTGTGTGTGTATGTATTTAGGGGAATTTTAAAAGCAAGGGTGGAAAAGAAGTGAAAGTGAAGTTTCTTGATCCATGATTTTGGGAAAAGCTGTCTATTTCATGAGGCCAGCTGCTTCTGGGACCTGAGAATTGGCCCTGGACATCTTTAGTTTAAGGTCACCTGTGGGTACTGTCTCCTAGCTGCCTTGAGAGTCGTGTCCTGAGTCTATTTTGGTGTGGCTTGCATGGATCCAAGGAGATTTTCCTTTATTTTGATGGTAGTGTAGGTGGTCAGTAGGACTTCATAGGGTCCTTCCCAGTGCACTTTTTCTTCTAAAGACCTGGATGTACACCCAATCCCCTGGTCCAAAGGGATGGCAAGTTTTTTCAGAAGGTAAGGGCCATGCTTCTTTTACCTATGGACCATGTGCTTCAAGTATACTGTTTAATTTTTGTCTATAGCTAATCATAGCATCAAATTTGTTCACTAAATTCCCCACAATATTCACATAATCCAAGAATGGAAGGTTTAGAGATGCCAGTAGCCCTCAGGCGTCTAAACACTATTTCAAAAAGAGTCAATCCATGTCTCCTATTTGGAGTATTCTGGGAGCTTATGGCCATTTGGTCCAGTTTCTTGACAGAACTTTCCTAAAGTCCTTTTCATGTCTAGATTTTTATGTTCCACTTGTCCTGATGATTGAGGATGATGTGGGGTATGAAATTTTAGTGAGTACACCAGAGCTTCTGCACACAAGTCATTTATCTCTGCTGTAAAATGAGTTCCTGGGTCTGATTCAATCCATAAAGGAGTCCAAAACAAGGAACAGCTTCAGTCGTTAATTTCTTTACCACAGTTGTGGCCTCTGCATGTCTAGTTGGATAGCATTCAATGCATCCCCTAACCATGCAGACGATAACCAAACAGTGAGAAGAGCCTAAAGCTAGGGGCAAGGCTATAAGGTCCATTTTCAGTGCTGCAAAGGGCAGTGTGGACCTGGGAGGACTTCCTGGGTCACACTGATTTCTCCCAAAAACTTGGTGAGATTTGCAAATAGTGCACTTGGAAATAATTGTGTTAGAAATTTTGTGGATGACAGGGAAAACCAATTATCTTTTAGTTCCTTAACTATCCCCCGTCTGCACATACGTCCCATTTGCTGGGAGATAAGTACAAGCCAAAAAGTCAAAGGAAAAGGAGCTACAGGAAGTCCTTTGGCCCAGTGTCTAACCCATCTGATCATTGTTTGGTGCCATGTTGTATCCTATGGTCTTTTTCGGATTGTGGGACATTTGCCTGATAGTTAATAACATCAGTCAGGGATGAAGACAGTTTTAAAAATTTGGTGGAGAAAGGACAAGGGGGTCCATGGTGGGTTGCGTATTTAGCAGTTCTGCCAGCCTGTCATTTCCCAAAGATATGACATCAGTCTCCTGAGTGTGGGCTGAACAAGGAACAATGACAATTTGAGAAAAGAGGCTAATAGCTCATAATAGTGGAGCAATGAAGCCACCATTCGCAATAGGAGTTCCTGCAGAAGTGAAGAATCCACGGGATTTCCAAATTGTGCCAACGGCATGGCAGACTCAAAAAGCACATCTGGTGTCAGTGTAAAGAGTGGCAGTTTCCCCTTTTCTCGTGCGCAGGCTCTAGTAAGAGCTATGAGTTCAGCAACTTGGGCTGATTTCACAGTGGGCAAAGAATAAGCTTCTAGCATTTCGTGTGGGGAACCTGTGGCATAGCCAGTTATTATGTTTCCCCAGAAATTCCTTTAACAGGAGCCATCACAAAACAGAAGTAAGTTTAAAGTAAGACTGTCTAAAGGGATGTCCGAGAAATCCTCTCATAGATCTGAAACCATTTCTATGTTGGAGGGCAATCATGTGGAATGGAGTGGGGCTCTCCATCACCAGGGAGGGGTAATAAGGTGGCTGGATTCACAGTGTTACAAGGATGTAAGATGATGGAAGGGTTAGTTAAAAGAGCCTCCTCATGGGTGGTCTGTGGCCCTGTAGAGAGGTGCTGTGTCTATGAACTTGCAAAATAGCAGACACAGAATGGGGAACAGAGAGAGGAAGGGGAGGACTTAATATTAGAGTACTGGCTTTGTCAATCAAGGTGGCAGCTGTGGCCACCACACATAAGCAATGGGGCGTACCTGATGCCACAGGGTGTAGTTGGCATGAGCAATATGTTGTAAGACATATCTGAGAGGCAAAAGACTGTTCTAGAATGCCTGCATCAATTCCACTATTTTCATGGCAGTATAGATGAAAAGGTTTGTCGAAAGTAGGTAAGCCGAGAGCCAGGAAGTGTAGAAAAAGCTAAGTTTAAGGCTTCAGAGGAGTTTAATAGCTCTGAAGGCCGGGAAATAGGCTCTGTGTGCCAAATGGGGTGATATCTTGGAGAAGAGCATCCAGAGGGTTAGCAAGGGCTACAGAAACAGGAATCCACTGGGGCTGTAACCAGCTGCCCCTAGACGTTTACGTAGTTATTTCTTCTTAGGGGGAGAGGGATGAACAAAATGGAGTCAAGGTGTTTGGGGGGAGCTTTTAAATGCCTTGAGATATCTCATGTCCAGGGGGTACCAGTCATTTTCACTCACTGAAGTTTCAATCTGGAGGCTTTATGGCCTCGAGCAGCTCGTGCCTTCAGGAGAATGAGGGGGCTGTAAGAGCTCCATGTTTAGTTTGATTACACAGCAGAAGATCATCCACATAGTGAACAGGAGTGGAGCCTTGAGTAAAGGCTACAGAATCCAAGTCAGCTGTAAGGATTTGGGAACATATTGAGAGGGACTCACAGTATCCCTGAGGTAGGTGAGTCCATGTGAATTGCTTCTCTTTCAATGTAAACGCAAAAAGAACTTGTGAGTCAGGGTGCAAAGGGATTGGAAAGAAAGCTGAGCAAGGGTCATCTGCTGTCACCCAGGCTGCATCAACAGGGACTGAAGTCAGGATGACAGCTGGATCAGGGACAAATGATGCTGAGGAATTACAAAAGACTTTATGGCTCTGAGGTCTTGTACAAATCTATAGATTTGGTTCCCATCTGATTCAAACTTGCCTTCTCTTTCCACTGGCAGGATTGGAGTATTACAGGGTAAGGAAGTAAAATCTAGTACACTCTGTGCAAAAGGGAGTCTGTTATAGATTCAATTCCTCACTCTTCTTCTCTAGAGAGCGGGTATTGGGCTACTGATGGAGATGGTTCTTTCTTTTTCCAAGTAATGTGCATGGGTTCTGCACTGATTAACAGTCCTACTTCATTTGCATATGTAGCTCAAAGACTAATGGGGACATCTTTTAAAGACTCATGCTCTTCAGAAGAATTTAAATCAGGATGAGTTTCTAGCCAGGAAAGTAGGAGACTTGGAGTGTGGTCCGAGGTCAGGGAGATAAAAATGCCTTTCTCATTACAGTTTCTAGTGGCATTAAATTTCCATAAATCTTTGCCAAAAAGGTTTGCTGGTGAACAGTGGGAGACTAGAAAGGCATGATAAGTGTAAAGCGGGGCCTAAAGATGTTGGAGTGGGCTGAGATATGGACCATGAAACAGGCGGCCCAGAGACTCCAACAGCTTGAATAGGAGTCAAAACATCAACATTAAGAGGAGTTTGGAAGAATTTGATTCTGACTCTCATGGATGACTTTCAGGGGTTCAAGACTTCAGTGGACAATTAACTGCAGATGTGGTGGAAATGGCAAGAGAACTAGAATTAAAAGTGGAACCTGAAGAGGTGGCTGAATTGCTGCAATGCCATGATTAAACTTTAATGGATGAGGGTTTGCTTCTTATGGATGAGCACAGAAAGTGACTTTTTCAGATGGAAAGTACTCCTGGTGAAGATGCTGGGAAGACTGTTGAAATGACACCAAAGGATTTAGAATATTATATAAACTTAGTTGATAAAGCAGTGGCAGGATTTAAGAGGACTGACAGCAATTTTGAAAGAAGTGGTGCAGTAGAGGGTAAAATGCTATCAAACAGCATCGCAGGCTCCAGAGAAATGGGGAAAGGAAGAGTCCATCAATGTGGCAAACTTCATTGTTGTCTTGTTTTAATAAATTGTCACAGCCACCCCAGCCTTCAGCAATCACCAACCTGCTCAATCAGCAGCCATCAACGAAGCAAGACCCTCCCCCAGTAAAAAGATTACAACTTGCTGAAGGCTTAGATGATGGTTAGCATTTTTTAGCAATAAAGTATTTTTTAATTAATGTATGTACAGGTTTTTTAGTTAAAATGCTATTGCACACTTAATAGAGTACACTATAGTTTAAACATAACTTATATGCACAAAAAATTCATCTGACTCACTTTATTTGACATTCATTTTATTGCAGTGGCAAGGAACTGAACCCGCAATATCTTCAAGGTATGTCTGTATACTTTCGCTTATGAGATCTAGCTCTCTGATCTATTTTGAGGTAATTTTTGTGAGTGTTGTGAGGTAGGAGTCTGACTTCATTCATTTGTGTGTGGATATCCAGGTGTTGCAAAGCACAGTGTGCTGAAGACTATTGTTTCCCTCACTGAGTTGTTTTGGAACTTTTTGTCAAAAATTAATTGGCCATCAAGAGAACGGGAAGACAGGTATAGACTGGGAAAAAATATTTGTAAAGACGTATCTGACAAAGGATTGTTATCCAAAATATTCAAAGAACTCTTAAAAAACAACAGTAAGAGAACAAAGAACTCAATTAAAAATGGGCAAAAGATCTGAACAGACACCTCACCAAAGAAGACATTGAGTTGGCAAATAAGCCTATGAAAAGATGCCTCACATCATACGTGATTAGGGAATTGCAAACTAAAACAGCACTGAGACACCACTCCACACCCGTTGGAATGGCAAAAGTCCAAAACACTGACAACACCAAATATTGCTGAGGATGCTGAGCAACAGGAATGCTCATTCAGTGCTGGTGGGAATGCAATATGGCACAGCCATTTTGGAAGACACTTTGCAGTTTCTTACAAAACTAAACATACTTTTACCATATGTTTCAACAACCACACCCCTTGGTATTTACCCAAATGAGTTGAAAACTTATGTCCACACAAAAACCCACACATGGATGTTTACAGCAGCTTTATGCATTATTGCCAAAACGTGGAAGCAACCAAGATGTCCTTCAGTAGGTGAATGGATAAATAAACTGTGGTCCATCCAGACAAGAATTTTGCTCAGCACTAAAAAGAAATGATTTAAGGCCAACTGGGTGACTTAGTGGTTAAGTTTGCACACTCCACTTCTGTGGCCTGGAGTTCATGGGTTTGGATAACGGGCACTCATCAAGCCATGCTGTGGTAGCATTCCACATACAAAATAGAGGAAGACTGGTACAGATGTTAGCTCAGCAACAATCTTCCTCATGCAAAAAGAGGAAGATTGGCAACAGATGTTAGCTCAGGGCCAAACTTCCTCACCAAAAAAAAAAAAAAAAAAAGTATAGAAAAATAAATAAAAGGTTAAAAATAAAAAGAAATGAGCTATCAAGCCATGAGTAGACATAAGACAACCTTAAATGCATAATCCTAAGTGAAAAAGGCCAATCTGAAAAGGCTACATACTGTCTGATTCAATTCCAACTATGATGTTCTGGAAAGGCAAAACTGTGGAGATGGAAAAAGATCAGTGGTTCCAAGAGGTTAGTGGGGAGGGAGGGATGAGTAAGTGAAGCACAGAGGATTTTTAGGGCTTACCCTAATAGTGTACACATGTCACTATACATTTGTCAAAACCCATGGAATGTACAACACCAAGAGTGAGCCCCAATGGAAACTATGGGCTTTAGGTGAGGTGTCAATGTAGGCTCATAAATTATAACAAATGTACCAATCTTCTGGGGGACATTGATAGTGGGGGAGGCTATGCCTGTGCAGGGGCTGGGGTATATGGGAACTCTAGCTTCTGCTCAATTTTCTTGTGAACCTAAAACTGCCCTTAAAAATAAAGTCTGTTTTTAAACAAAAAATCAACTGGCCATAAATTTAAATTGGCAATAAATTTTTAAAAATTAATTGCCCATAGTTTTGGACTCTCAGTTCTATTCCATTGATCTATATGTCTGTCCTTATGTCAGTAACACACTGTCCTGACTACTATAGCTTTGTAGTGAGTTTAGAAATCAGAAGCATAAGTCCTCCAACTTGTTCTTTGTCAAAATTGTTTGGGCTATTCAGGGTCCCTTGAGTCTGCACATGAATTTTAGGATGAGCTTGATAATTTCTGCAAAATAGGCACTTGGGATTGTGACAGGGATTGCACTGAATCTGCTGACCGATTTGGAGAGTATTGCCATCTTGACAATGTTAAGTTTTCCAGTACATGAATGTGGGATGTGTTTCCACTTATTTAGATCTTGTTTAATTTTTTCAATGATGTTTACTAGTTTTCAGTGTACAAGTTTTGCATTTCTTTTGTTAAATTTATTCTGTTTGTTTATACATGAACTTATTCTTTTTGATCCTTTGCAGGCAGAATTGTTTTCTTTATTTCTATAGTTCATTGCTAGTCTTTAGAAATACAATTGATTTTGTGTGTGTGTGAGGAAGATCGGCCCTGAGCTAACACCTGCACCAATCTTCCTCTGTTTTATGTGGGACACTGCCACAGCGTGGCTCGATGAGCAGTGCTATATCCTCACCGGGATCCTAACCTGCGAACCATTGGCCGCAGAAGCAGAGTGCGTGAACCTAACCACTACGCCACTGGGTGAGGCCCTAAAATTTATTTCTGTGTATTGATCTTATATCCTGCACCTTTCCTGAACTTTTATTTTGTGTGGATATTTTTTGTGTCGATTCCTTGGGATTTTCTCTCCATAAGATCGTGTCATCTGTGCTAGAGATAGTCATACTTCTTCCTTTCCAATCTGGATTCCTTTGATTTCATGCTCTCACCTAATTGCCATGGCCAGAGCCTCCAGTGAAATGTTGAGGACAAGTGGTGAGAGGACATCCCAAGGTTGGTCCCAATCAGAGGGAAAGCTTTCAGTCTCTCACCACTGAGCACAGCAGCCGAGGGTTTTCGTAGATGGTCTTCATCAGTTTGAGGGCAGTCCCTTCTACTCCAGGTTTGCTGACTGTTTTTTTCTGTGTCTGTTGAGGTGATCCTGTCATTTTTGTCCTTTTTGCTGTTAGTATGGCATACTGCATTGATTGATTTTCAGATGCTAAATCAATCTTGCATTCCTGGGGTAAATCCTGCTTGGTCCTCTTTATATGTCACTGGCTTTGATTTGCTGGTATTCAGTTGAGCAATTCTGCCCCTATATTCATAAAAGATGTTGATCTGCCGATTTCTTCCCTTGTGATGTCATTGTTGGGTTTTGGTGTCAGGGTGATGCTGGCTTTGTAGGATGAGGTGGGAAGTGTTCTCTCTTCTTCTTGTATTTTTTGGTGCTTTCCCTTCATGGTGTTGGTCTGTGTAACTACCTTGCTCAGCGGGGTCCAGCCGTTGGCCCAGCCATATCCCTGGAAGTTGACAGTTTATTGCATCAACCATGCTTGGCCACGAATATTCTTTGGATGTTGGTGCCTGTGAAGGGGGTGTGGTGAGAGCCCCTCTCTGGGTAGATAAAGTCAGTGCTCTGAAAGCCTGCACACCAGCTCTCAGATTGTCATCAGCAAGACCCTGGCAGAGCTTCTGTTATAAAACTGTCCAAACTTCTTGGTTGGAAATGGATTTTTCTGGATTTTTGTGGAGGCGTTTCAGAACAAGGAACATCTTGTGTGTGTGAGGAACCAGAGCGAGCTACAGGAGATGTCATCCCTGCAGGCAGTGGGAGCCCATCTGAGAAGTTCCTTGAGACGATGTCAGCCAAATATCAGAGGGGAGCAAGGGGGTGGGCTAAGGCAGAGTGTTCTAATTGGCACCATCATGTCTGGGATCGCACCTTCCTGTCACCAGCCCACTGAGCCAGACAGCCTGCAGGTGCCCTTAAAGTCCTATTCCACAAACCACATAGAAACCTGACAACATGGAGAGAGTTCTTGGGGAAAGGATATCTGTTTTGGTTTTTCTTCAGTTGGAAGGATTTTCATCATTTTGCTGTAAACAAGTTTACATGCTATCACACCAACCTTTCCACTTTCAAAGAATTGGGGAGAGCAGAAGGACAAAGACCCCTCAGCCCCAGGAATAAATCAGCCTGAGGGGGGTCGTGATGGTCACGTGATGAGACATGTCCTCACGTGATGTGAGGACTGGCATGGAGTAGATGCTCAGTCCACAATACTTCTCAGGGATATCCGCAAGTTGGGAGCTGCCGTTAGGGTCCCCCAGGCTTGACAGGTGCTCCTGGGCTGGTGGAGCTGCCATTGGTGTCTGAGGGGCCCTAGGGGTGCCCCAAGCTGGAGGTCATCCCCAGGAGTCTGCTTGCCTCCTGTCAGGACATTGTCTGAAGCTAGAAGCTCAGAACAGCCAGCATGAGTCCTGCCAATTCACAGAACAGTCCCCAAAGCCTGGCACTCTCTCAGAAATGGATGAGGGTGGCTTACTGCCATCCCATTGTTCCCAGAGATCAGGGACTGCCCAGGGCCTCTCAGCCAGATTCATACCCTCATCTTACCAGCATCCTGCCTGCTTCCCACAGCCTCCACTCTTCCCAGTGTTGAGGGAGCCTTGATGGTACCCAGCTGGTGGAGTCCATGTGTTGGGATGAGGGATCATGAAGGGTGTCAGCGGCCATGAAAGCAAGTGGGCTCCAGATACCCCCCAGACCTGGACCTTAACCTCCACCAACCTCCCAAGGCCACCTTGGTGACCTGGGCTAGTCAGTTACCTGGTGGTCTGGGCTTCCTCATCTTTGAACCAGGAACAGTAATGGGGCTTCCGTAGATCCTGGGAGTCTGGTATTGACCGTCCGAGGTATGGGTAGGGTGGGCTGAATGTGTGTTGGACCGCAAGGTAGGGCCAAGTGCTGGATCTGGTGCCCAGGGTTTAGGGTGGGCCCTGCGTGCAGGGTGGCAGCAGCAGAGACAGCAGGTAAGTCATAGCAAGTCCTGTGTGGTTGGACTCAAGCCAGAGAGGACATGAAGGCTAGGGTACCTGGGGACAGGGGTGCAGTGAAAGTGGTTCTGGCACTGGTGAGGCAGCAGCATTTCAAGGTGCAGGGTGGGGACGCAGCGTCTTGGCATTAGGCACAGGGCCCAGGGTGACCCCCATTCGCAGCAGGGTGAACTGATAACAGCAACCCAGCAGGGAGGGGGATGGGGGCATGAACACAGCTGTCTGAAGCCGGGTGGCTGCCTGGGCATAGCCCAGGGCCACTGAGTTGCTCCTGTTCCAGGTCCTGGTGGCCTGGTTCAGCTCCTGGGAAACCTTGGGGTTCCACCCTCCTCTGGGATCCCAGAGAACTGGAGCAATTCCTAGCGGGGCTCCCTGGGGCTGCCCCCTCCTCACCCTCAGGGCCTCTCCCAAACACCCAGTCCCTTGCCATGCAGGCAGGCTGAAGAGATCCTCATGCTTCCCTGTGACCTCCTGCCCACCCTGCTGGCAGGCCCTCACCCTGCCTCATCCCAGCCCTCCAACTAGCCAGTGGTTCCAGGCTGGGGTCCCCAGTGCAGGGTCAGAGCATGGACTGAAGGCTGCTCAGGACCTGGTTGGGCAGCCTGTTACTCCCCTCTCAACCTCCTAGGTGCCAGCATCTGGTTTGGTGCTCCTCTCAGCCACCCACCATGGCCTGGGGACTGCCCAGCACCACCAGCCTGGCACAGTTCTGCCAGAAGTTGAACCGGCTGAAGACACTGAAGGAGTCAACCACGGAGACATCGCAGCAGGGCCACCTGACCACGCTGGACCTGACCCTGCTGGGTGTGGGTGGCATGATGGGCTTCGGCCTCTTCATGCTCATGGGCAGTGTGGCCAAAGGAATAGCTGGCCCTGCGGTGGTCGTGTCCTTCAGCGTGGCTGCCGTGGCCTTCCTGATGGGAGCCCTATGCTATGCAGAGTTGGCAGCACATGTGCCCCGCAGGGGCTCTGCCTACCTGTTCACCTACATATCCCTGGGTGAGCTGTGGGCCTTCCTCGTTGGCTGGATCATGCTCTTTGAGTGCCTGATTGTAGGCACTGCTGCGGCCCATGTCTGGAGCAGCAACCTGGATGCCATCTTCAGCCACCGTATCCGCAGCTTCACTGTGGCCCATGTGGGCGTCTGGCAGGTGCCCTTCCTGGCTCAGTACCCAGACTTCCTGGCTGCTGGCATCATACTTTTAATCTCCACATTCATCTCCTGTGGAGTGCGCGTCTCTTCCTGGCTCAACCGCTTGTTCTCTGCCATCAGCCTAGTCATCGTCCTCTTCATCATCATCCTGGGGTTTGTCCTGGCCCGCCCGGACAACTGGAGTGCTGAGGAGGGTGGCTTTGCGCCCTTCGGTTTCTCCGGCATCATGGACGGGGCCGCCACCTGCTTCTACGCCTTCTTGGGCTTAGGTTCCATCACTGCCTCCGGTAATGAGGCTCAGAACCCCAAGCGAGCTGTGCCTATGGCCATCACCATCTCAGTTGGCCTGGTGGCCAGTGCCTACATCCTTGTCTCTGCCGTGCTCACCCTCTTGGTGCCCTGGCACAGTCTGGACCCTGACTCGGCGCTAGCTGATGCCTTCTACCAGCGTGGCTACAGCTGGGCGGGCTTCATCGTGGCAGCTGGTGCAATCTGTGGTAAGGGGCTCTTCTGAGCAAGTGGGGAGGGGACAAGGTGGTGGGGCCCTGTCCTAAGCCTCCCAGGGAACACATCTCCATCTGGGCCCATGTTCCCAGTTGCATCCTGGGCCCAGGAAGGTGCTAATGATTAAACTCTCCACCAAGGCTTCTTGGGAGGGACCTACTCACTGCTTCACCCAATTGTACACAGAATGTCAGTTCTGGGCATGTGCTGCCAGGTCCTTTCCTGGCAATGAGTCTCAGGCCTCATCAGATTCTCCAGACAGTCTGTCACCTAAACTGGGCTGTCCCATTCCTGGGTGGTGAGGGGGAACAGTTCAGCACCCCACATACACTCAGGCTCACTCTGAGAGACCAAACGCAAGTCCATGTTCCCAAGGGGCCACCCATGCCCTGAACCCCAACAGTGACCCCTGGTGGGCCTCTCAACCATGCTGACCAGTCTCCCACCCTCTGCCACAGCTATAACCAGTGTGCTGTTCAACCTCCTCTTTTTCGTGCCATACATGGTCTATGCCATGGCCATCGACGGGCTCATGTTCCACGTGTTTGCCCACATGCACCCTCAGACACAGGTGCCATTGGTGAACATCCTGGTGTTTGGGGTCCTCATGGCTTTCCTGGCGCTGCTTCTGGACCTCCAGACACTGGTCCAGTTCCTGTCCATTGGCATACTGCTGACCTTTACCTATATGGCCACCGGCATTATCATGCTACGCTTCCGAAAGTCCCCTCCAGCCAGTTCCCTGGGCCCAGCCAGCACTGTGGGCAGTGAGCAGGCTTCAGCCCCTGAGCCCGGAGAGCTGCGACCAGCCCTGAGACACTACTTCGGCTTCCTGGCTGGGTACAGACTTGGAGCTGCCGTGGCTTGGGCTCTCCGTGTCCTGGTGGTCTCAGCCATCACTCTGGACTGCGTGCTGGTCTTTGGAGACTCGGCCCTGCACCTCCCTCCCTGGGGCTACACCCTGCTGCTCCTGCTCAGCTCCGTCGTGTTTCTGCTCAGTCTCCTCGTCCTGGGGGCCCACCAGCAACAGCGCCGGCAGGACACCTTTCAGGTACTTCCTCCAGCCAGCACCCCTCACTCTCAGCCCAGCCAGCTCCCTTCGCCCCTTCCTCCTCTGCTGTGGCAGGATGCACCAGGGCTCACGGGGCAGGGGAGGCCAGTACCCCATCCCCGTCTTTCTGCATGATGAGCGAGCATTTGTCTCTGAAACCTGCAGAGGCGGAGAAAGGCTCCGTGGACTCCCGAGAAATCAGGCCCCAGGCCAGCAGCCTTTCCCTGCAGCCCAGCAGCCCTGCCCTTGCCCCCCAGGTTCCCATGGTGCCCCTGACTCCAGCCCTGAGCATCCTCCTCAACATCTTCCTCATGATGCAGCTGAGCTACCTGTCCTGGTTGCGCTTGTCCATCTGGCTGCTGATTGGTGAGTGGGGGCCAGGCTGGGACCCTGGGTGGACTGCAGGAGGAAGCAAGCAGGGAAGCTGGGCTGGGACCTGCCCCTCAGGCTTGTGCCATCCTTACAGGACTCGTGGTGTATTTTGGCTATGGCATCTGGCACAGCAAGGAGAACCAGCAGGAGCTGCCGGGGTTGACTGTCACACACAGCAGCCTGGAGGAGACGGAGCAGGGCTTATAGCCCCTCAGCCAGGCCCCGGCCCAGTAGCCCGGCCACACGGAGCAGCCCACCAGTCCATGAGGACCGCTGGGGGCCTGCCTGCCCTCCTGCACCTCCTCATGGGGACAGAGGGGCTGGCAGCTCCTTTTATCCAGAACAGCTTGGGTTTGCAGTCCTGTCCATGCCAAGGGGTCCTCAGGACCTCAGACCTTAGCCCAGGGATCGAACTCCGAGTCTTTGGGAGTGGGCCGTGGCCGGAGCTGCTGTGGTGGACTCTGCCCAGCACCTTCCAGTTTACGACCAACTCCAGCTACCTGGGCACGTGGAGCAGGGCGGGCAGGGAAGAGGCCCGCAGCCCCAGGGATCCACAATAATAACTGCTCAGTCACCCCCGTGGCCTGCCATCGTGTCCACTGTGGTGTTCTTTGTGGCACTGAGTCCTCACCTGCTCCCAGGAACCAGACGATTGTCCCTAATCCACAGCGAAGATGCCGAGGTTCTGTAATGGGGAGGCACGAGCCCTGGGACAGCCCTGAGTCAGGGAAATGGCCTGGCCTGGGTCCAGGGGTCCTACCCTCAGGCCTGCCCTCATGCCAGCTCAGAGGGTACCTACACATACTCCAACACACATCAGCCACAGAGGGCTCCCTGACAGGGTGGGCCCAGGCTCCCTCTCAGGCATCCCACATGGCCCCTTGGGGGCGGATCCAGAGAGCAGAACCTGGAGCCCAAGAAGGCCACCTAGAAAGGGCAGTGAAGTTCCTAGTTTTCCTCAGTTTCCCAGGGCTCCTTGACAGCAGGGAATGTGCCTGAGGCCCTGGGATGTGGAGGCCCACCTGCCCAGGTACATGTGTCACTCAGGCACAGGCCCACACGGCTCCCCTGGGGGTACACACCCACGTGCAGACTGAGGCAACAGCTGTTTCCAAGCTCAGGGCCCACAGCTCCAGCTGCCTCTCTCCCTGCCGACCCCTCAGGGCCTTGGGATAACGGCTCAGGATGGGACACACGCGTACAGGTGGGTGCACAAGCGCCTGGACCCCACTTGGTGGCTGTGGGGCCCCATCCTCGGGGTCCCTAGGCTCACCTTCCACCCCCACTGGTCTGTCGAAAGCAATGCCACATCTACCATAGACACTTCCACCACCCCGTTCCCGCCTGTGAGGGCCACACAGGAAGCTACTGGCTCTGGCAGCTTTACTTCTCAACTCTCTACTGCCTTGACATCAGCCTTCTCTGGGCCCCAAGGACAACCAGGGACACGTGACCCCGCTCCAATAACCAGGCCTCAGGGCAGTGTTCTCTCATGCTAGCCCTTCTGAACCATCTCTCATGGACACTGCTCTGGAGATTGAGGGGCAGAAGGGACCCCAAGGCTTGGCTGAGGCTCCAGGTTCCAGATGATTCCAGATGCTGCTCAGCCTGAGCTCCAGCCCTGGCCCTCCCCAACCTGGCCCATGTCACTCCACCAGCAAGCTGCCAGCATGACCTAGTCACCAGGGACCCCTGAGAAGGCAGCCCCTTGTCTCCCTGGGGTGGGTACCCCAAATCTCTGCCCCTCCCTGGGACCAAGAGAGGGCTGGATTCCTGCAGCCCCCGTGCCTCCCCTCCTGCCTGTGGGCCCGGGACATGGGGAAATTCTCCAGCAGACAGGACTCAGACCCCCAGGAGGATGCCAGAGCCACAACCAGGCCAGCCTGCTGGGACTTCCATGTGCTCTGTTAAGGACATTCTCTCCAGCCCCTGGGCTGCATCTGGGGTCTTAGTCAGAGCATGGTCCTCGTGCAGTTCCCTTAGGTTATGGTGGGCAGCTGGCCAGACACATTCTCAGGTGTGACCTTGGGCAGCAGTGACATATGTGTCCAGATATACAGCCTCCCCATCCAATGGCTCCCTGAAGTGCAGTGAGCAGGGTGCTGGGCTGGGGGTCACCAAGGAGACAGGTAGAAGGTCCCAAAGGATCCCAATGCCCACCAACTCAGCCCGTCAACCTTCCTCCCCACCCCAGCCCCTAACAGCCCAAGGGCTCCACCAGGAAGGGGCTGGTACTCACAAACTGAGTGGTTATGGGCCCAAGAGGTGCCTGTACCCTTGCCTGGGGTCCCAGGAGGTCGGATCATCTGCCCACTGCACTCATTCCATGGATGAGACCCGGAGCTGGGAGGGGACCTGCCCTCGGAACCCAGCACCAGAGCAGCTGAGACAGCTCCTTCTGTCAGGCTTCTTTCTCCCCTGCCTTGGAGTTTGGCAGCACAGACCCAAACTTCCTGCCTGAGAGGCCTGGGCTGAGCCGCTTTGGCTGTGGCTGTTACCGCCTCCTATCCCTCACCCCTGTCTGCCTCCACCCACCCTGACCTGGCCCCTCCCTCCTCAGTGAGGAGGGTGTTGAAGCAGACCCCAGAGAGCTGGAGCAGACTCTGGGGCTCCACGTCTGAGGCCTCCCCCCAGTGAGTGGCTGTCCTGGGGGCAGGAGAGTCTCGTGGCCTGCTCTGCCCACTCCTGGGCTGGCCTGGCCCTCACAGGCCTCATCTTACTCATCCATTGACTCCATCCACCCCCAGCCTAGTCCTGGGTCTCAGCCCTGTGTCATTGCTGAGGACACAGGGGACAAGCAAGCTGGGACCTGCCTCTCAGATGCTCTCTGCCTGCTGAGGAGACGGGGACAGAAGGGTCCCTAAACAGACACTGTCAGTGGGGTGGAGGGAGGTGGGTGCAGGCCTGGGCTGTGGGGTCCAGAGAGGGGACTCACTCCCCTGGGAACCAGGGGCTTCCTGCCAGGAGACTGTCAGGCTGGTTTTCCAGGCATCAGGAAGGAGTTCAAGGCAGAGACATAGGGCGGGGAAAGCACAGAGGGGAGGGGGCGAGGAGTGGGTAGATCCAGCCCTATATGGTCCTGAAGGGCTGGGGAGGTCAGCGAAGCCAGGCCAGGCCTGGCCCAGCGAGCAGTGTCAAGGGGCGTCACCTCCAGGCCTGGGGGCTGTGTGTACATATGTGTGAGGGTGTTGAGGTGACATGCGGGGACAGAAGGATGAGGGGTCTGCTAGGAGCCTCAGATATGACATTGCATGCAACGCAAGATCCTTGAGTGCATCCTGGGTCAGAAAACAAAAGATGTACAACTATTATTGGCACAGCTGGGGCAATATAAATATTAGATCTGCCACTGTTAGATTTCTGGAGTGTGACAAGAGGACAGCAGTCACCTGGGGACAGTCCTCATTCTCATGACAGCATTGAGAGGAGTCAGTGTCTGAATATCTGCCAATTACTCTCCAAAGGTTTCCTGTGAAATCTGAACATATCCGCTCCCTCTAGAGAGGGATGGAGAAAGCAGATGGGGCAAAATGGTAAAAAAAGAAAAAAAAAAAAAAAAAAGAACAAATGTAGTGAACCCACATGAAGGCTATATGGGTTTTCACGGTACTAATCTTTGAAGTTTACTACAGATTTTCACAATTTTTTAGATAAAATATTCAGGGAAAAGTAAAAAAGAAGCCCCCTGTGGTGTGGAGGGAGATGCTGGAGGCAGGGTGGAGTGGAGGAGGGGCTCGGTGAGGGGTCCCCATGTTCCCTCTGCTCGGAAAAACAATGGAATGATATATGAAATTGTCCTGCAAAACATGCTTATTCAATATGATGAATGGTTATTATCAGAAGCTTTAGTGTAATGGAAATTCCTCAGGGTTTGCAGTCTGACAGGCCTGGGAGCAAATCCTGATCCATCAACGTTAAATCCTGGATTCTGAATCCAAGATCAACACTAGTCTAGACACAATGTTCTACTTCCTGTTCCTTCCCTGTTATCATTAGTCTCCTCTGCCTGGCCCAGATGCGATCCTCAGCTTTAAGGGAAATACATCTGAATCCTACAGTCCACGTAAAAGCCTTCCCAGGACTCAGCCCTGTGTCCATGTGAAACACGGCTGATACCTCCAGGCAGGGTCACTGTGAGAGGGGATGAGATGACAGACCCCACAGAAAGGGCCTGTGCAGAGACAGACTCAGTGCTAGTTCTCTTCCCCCAACCTCTGTGGTTTTCATTTTTTATTGAGGAACAACATTTATGCTGAAAGGTGCACATGGATTAAGGGCAGGGCCCAGTGAATTTTCAGAAACAGCACCCACCTAGGTAACCAGTCCCCCATCGAGAAATAGAGCAGTCCCCCAGAAGCCCCCTTGTGCTTCATCCCATCTCTGTTTTAATAGTTTGGGGAGTAATGACGTTGTCATCCATAGGAGAGAAGCTGTCCTAAGGAGCTTCTTCGAGGCCCTGTGTGTGTAAGTGAAAGAAGTCAGGTTCTCAGAAAGTGACAATGTGCTGCCTGGTCCTGGGTGTCTCCTCAGGATGTCCAGGTGAGCAAGGGGTTTGAGGACCTCGCCAGCTCAGTGAAGGTCATTCTTCCAGGGCTTTGCATAAAGACTGCTGCCCGCAGAGTGGAGCACAGAACAGAGCTGCTGCCAGTCTTTAGACCGTCCCCACCAGTGTCTGCCCTAAATGGCTGTGGAGTGTGGCTTCCTCATCTTCCATCAGCCACTTCACTTCCACACGGAGGGTTCTGGGCTTCCCCTGCCTTGTTACCATCTGAGTCTGCCCTGAGTCCCCATATCAACTGGAGGGTAGTGCTAGGGAACCAGCCTCCATGATGACTCAGACACCTGTACCTTCCTCGGCCCCCATGGCCCCTGCAGTAACCAGGGCCTTCCTCTACTTTCCCTCATTTATGTAACATGAACTCATATGATGTGCTGCACATTGAGCTGGGCACAGGGTCAAGATGCCCAGAGACTCTGCCCTGGAGACCTCAGGAGACAAAATAAAAGCTGGTGTGCCATTGGCATTCCCACACTCAACTTGTGAGAAGCTAACTGACATGACTTTTTGGGAAGGCAATTTGTCCTTATGCACTGAGAGCCTTAGAACTGCCTGTGACCTTTGAACCAATGGTCTGACTAATCTGCTCTACAGAAATAACCAGAGACACAGAAAAAGATTGATGCCCAACAACGTCCACTGAAGTGCTGTTTATAACACAAAAATTGGAAATAATCTAGATTCCCAACAATAAGGGATGGTTAACAGATTTAGAACTCTGCAAACACTAAAGCCAAGTGTTCAAAGAACATTTAAGAATTTGTGAAAATGCATATGTTTAACGCACTGGGAAACTTTGGATAAAATTCACATGGTTTGTCTGCCAGGTCCCCAAAAGGGTAAACATGGAGATGACCATGTGACCCAGCAATTCCACTCCCAGAGAAACAGAAACATATGTCCCCACCAAAACCTGTACTCAGATGTTCATGACAACATTCCTCTTAATATCCACAAGGTGCAAATGTCCACCAGCTGATGAAAGGATAAATACTGTGGGACACCTATGCAATGGAATATGATTTGGCAATAAAGAGGAATGAAATTTGAGGTGAAAATGTTCTAAAATTGATTATGGTGGAGGTTGCCCACCTCCATGACTACACTAAAAGAAATCAAATTGTGTGTTTTAAATAGGTGAATTGTACCTCAATACAGCTGTTTAGAAGAGAATGGAATGAAGTAGCATGCTACTGCGGGAACGGATCATGTAGCAAGGGGAATGTGTCCTGATACAACATGGATGGACCTTGACAACGTTATGCTGAGTGAAAGGAGTCAGTCACAAAAGACCATTTTGTACGATTCTGTTTATCCAAAGTGTCCAGAATAGGTAAATCCACAGAGACAGAAAGTAGATTCGAGGTTGCCCAGGGCTGGGGGAGGGGAGAGATTGGAGGTTGACAGCTAAAGGGTCTGGACTTCTTTCGTGGATGATAAAAATGTTCTAAAATTTATTGTGGTGATGGTCGCACAACTCTGTGAGTATACTATAATCTGTTGGATTGTCCACCACTTTAACAGGGTGAATTGTACGGTGTGTGAATTATATCGCAAGAAAGTTGTTACCAAAAAAAATCATATTGTTTGATCAAGTTGTGTACAAAAACATGTATGAATGTGTACACTAAGAAAAAAAAGACCCAAAGCACCCCTGGCATATTGATAATGCTTATCTCTAGGTTGTGGGTTCATGTATTTTTGTTTTGTTGATATTTTTCTGCATTTCCCACACTTTCTACTGTAAGTATGCATTACTTTTGGAATCAGGAAAATAAATAGAACTTAAAAACACAACATGGTACAAGCTACAATTCAGTTATATGCAGTTATATATGTAGTCAGAGCCCTGAGGAAGGAGGGTGCTGTAGACTGATATTTTACCCCAAAACATCATATGTTGAAGCCCTAACTGTCAACGTGAATGTATTCGGAGAGAAGAAGTAATTAAGGTTAAATGAGGCCATAAGGATGGGGCCTTGAACCACAGTAGAAGTAGTATCCTTATAAGGAGAAGCACCAGAAAGCTTGCTCTCTCCCCTCCCACCACGTGAGGACACAGCAAGATGGCAGCCCTCTGCAAGCCAGGAAGACAGGCCTCACCAGAAATCAACCCTCCCAGACCTTGATCTGGGACTCCTGGCCTCCAGAACTATGAGGTGTT